GTAGGTTCTTTGAACATAATTATTTTTTTTTATTATTTGCAAAGATTAATATTGGATCTTGAGCATTATGCCCTCTACTAACATTAATGCTTCTATTTTATTCACTCATAATAAAATTCTGAGGAATAGGCTAGATATGCATTTATAACATCTGCAGTTGGAAAACTATTTTAAATTAAACTCTCTAGTATTCTCAGTAATTAAAACCATAGTAGTATTCTACATTTTAAGTGCCCTTTTTAGTCTATGGTAGCACAATCTCACAAGTAATTGGTAATAACGATTTTCACAGTAACTGTTTTGCAGTCTAAACAGAGCTAAATATTTATGTATTCCTCAAAGCAAACAAAAAGACCAACAGATATAGAAGACCTGGATATAACCAAGTATTTTGGAAAACATGCTTGTGGCCAAAAGCCAAACACAACCAAAAATTCAGTTATATTTTCCTGCTTGTGGTAACAACTTAAGCAACAATTATTCAATAAATATTTTTGGATTAAAAAAAAAATAAATTCATTTCTGCCAACGCAAAAAAAGCCCAAACCATACAGTATTACAAAACAATTATTTTCTTTATTTCCTATGTAAAAGAAATTGGCATTTCTTTTTGTCAGCTCTTATACTGAAAAAAAACCAAAAAGAAAAGAATAGGAAGAAAAGTTGCCGTGTCACTGCTGCAACACAGGAACTGCCATAACCGATCAGCCCCCCCAGTGGTCTTTTCAGCTGGTTTGTCTCTGAAGTATCTGCTGTTGCCTAAAGCCAAAGTGCAGGAGAACCTTCCTTCAAACTTCAAGGTATAGCAAGTCTTACACAGAGATTTGATTCATCATTTGATTCAATTAACTATCTTCTTGGTGACTTATATGGTGTTTATGTAACTTCAGATAAATAAATAATAATTAAAAAATCAGCCAGATTTGGTTTTCCCAGTCATTCAGATGCTTGTGGAATCTCAGCCATTACCTCGGCCTAATGTGTTATTAAAAAAATTAATCTCCAAGTGCTTAAGTTTAATAGTTTCTTGTAGTAGCAAGGTTCACCAGGTTAACTAAGCATGGTATAAAAAAAAATTTCCTTCAACCAGTATTAGATGTGCTCTAATGTGTACTTCTCCCTGGAGTCTTCATGATTTTGTGATGCCATTGGATACTGCGCAAGATAAAAAGCAACATATTTGCTTGGTTTTGTACTGCTACTCTATACTTCATTAATTATGTCTTCAGAGTATTGGTACGAGTTATGCAGACTACCAAGCCAGCAGAATAAAAGTAAAGAATATTTTCATGAAATATTACTAAAACTAAGGGTTGCTAAAAAAGTGGTACTAGTAATACAAAGACCATTAGAAACGTCCTGGTCTGAGCCAGAATAAAGCCAGTTTTCCTTTTACTGATTTTTTTTTCCTTCATTGAGCTTTCTTTTAACTAGCACCAGAGCGTTCCAACTAAGGCTGATAAGAGAGGAATGTTTTTCTAACTGCTGCGTCTTCAAGGTCACATCTTTGCCCTGCTGGCTCAGACACTATGGGGAGATCTATGACCCCCCTGTAGGAGGCTGAGTTAGACAGACAGCAAAAGTGGCCAGAGATATTCCATTCCATGTATCTATGTAAGCTCAGAGGAAGGTCAGAGATCACAGAAGACAACTTCCTTCCTTCTTCTTCTTCCCTTCTCTTGTCATCCATGGCTGGTGTCTGGGTAGGATTCCTTCCATCCATCACCACCGACCCCCAGGCTTGAGCTCTCCTGACCCTCATCACTCTGTGCTTTCTCCAGCAGCTCTGGGATTTTTTGGGACTGTTCACAGCTCAGGAGATGCTGTGGGAGTTGCTGGGGGTGGGGGGAGGCGAGAGGCTTTTGCAGGTATCTGAACATATCTGTATATAATTGTATAATTTTCTTTTATCATTGGTGTTTAATTAAAGTTGTGTAGTTTAGTTTTCAATCCAGCCAAGTCTCTCTTTTTCTCTCTCTCTTTCCTTACCTGGGTGGGAGGGGGAGGGGATCGAGAGCATTGTTACTTCTCCCTGGAGTCTTCATGATTTTGTGATGCCATTGGATACTGCGCAAGATAAAAAGCAACATATTTGCTTGGTTTTGTACTGCTACTCTATACTTCATTAATTATGTCTTCAGAGTATTGGTACGAGTTATGCAGACTACCAAGCCAGCAGAATAAAAGTAAAGAATATTTTCATGAAATATTACTAAAACTAAGGGTTGCTAAAAAAGTGGTACTAGTAATACAAAGACCATTAGAAACGTCCTGGTCTGAGCCAGAATAAAGCCAGTTTTCCTTTTACTGATTTTTTTTTCCTTCATTGAGCTTTCTTTTAACTAGCACCAGAGCGTTCCAACTAAGGCTGATAAGAGAGGAATGTTTTTCTAACTGCTGCGTCTTCAAGGTCACATCTTTGCCCTGCTGGCTCAGACACTATGGGGAGATCTATGACCCCCCTGTAGGAGGCTGAGTTAGACAGACAGCAAAAGTGGCCAGAGATATTCCATTCCATGTATCTATGTAAGCTCAGAGGAAGGTCAGAGATCACAGAAGACAACTTCCTTCCTTCTTCTTCTTCCCTTCTCTTGTCATCCATGGCTGGTGTCTGGGTAGGATTCCTTCCATCCATCACCACCGACCCCCAGGCTTGAGCTCTCCTGACCCTCATCACTCTGTGCTTTCTCCAGCAGCTCTGGGATTTTTTGGGACTGTTCACAGCTCAGGAGATGCTGTGGGAGTTGCTGGGGGTGGGGGGAGGCGAGAGGCTTTTGCAGGTATCTGAACATATCTGTATATAATTGTATAATTTTCTTTTATCATTGGTGTTTAATTAAAGTTGTGTAGTTTAGTTTTCAATCCAGCCAAGTCTCTCTTTTTCTCTCTCTCTTTCCTTACCTGGGTGGGAGGGGAGAACCTGAGTCAAACAGTGACAGAAAAATATGTCAATCATAGACACTTGAGAAAATGTAAGTGTCACTTCTCACAGTGTTGAATAATAAATACTGGTTGCAAATGTTAGTAACATTAGTTATGTACATAAAAGTATTTTGATCCAGTAAATCAACTAGATTCCTAGTAGATTAAAACAGAAAAAGGAAGATGTGGATAGAAATTATTTGGTCCTTAATGAGAATAAGTATCTCAGCACTTCTCCCTTTTCTAGTCTGGGTATGAGTGAAACTGGGTTAGTATAACAACATATTCCCTCTGGGCTATTTTCCTTGCCTCCAGCAATGCAGACAACTGTGAAAGAAATTCTCATGCTTTCCAGTAATATTGCAATTTTTCCTATATTTGTTCTTGTCTACCTTTACTAGAGCGTCTGGAACTAACGCACCCTTGTCTTTCTTGGACAGTGGTTTGGCTATGAGTTTCTTGGCTACAAAGAGGTAAAAGAGACTTCAGATTAATTATTACTACTTGATGTAGTGATTAATTCAATTTTTCAAGTATAGTTAGAAACTCAACACATAGTAATTCAATTTATAGCAGTTGGCTTCAACAAGATTGCCAAGTGTATGCAATAATCTATTAAATGTTACCTCTCTCCATTAACTTATTAAAAACAAAAGCCATACCAAAAAAAGGTTAAAATAAGTAGCTTTGAGTGTTTTAACCCTAAACATTGAAATTTATATTATGTAGCAAATATTGTAATCTAAAAAAGAAAAAACTAAGCAATACAGCATATGTTTTGAGTCTTGCAAATCAGATGCAAAATATTAGATTCAATTTTAGAAAGGCACATGGGAAGTCAAGTCATTTAAAAGAAATTTGAACAAAAATCACTTTTAAAGTAGTTGTGTAAGTACTTTTTGACTAAATGAATAGTTTAAATAGTTGGGGAAAGCACAATTAAGAAGAACACAAATATTTTTTAATAAAAAATTCTCAGATTCCAATGGTTATCAAACCAATTTCTGTTAGGTTTTTTTTCTGCTTACAAAGTATCCCATATTTTAAGACAATCATCAGTCTTCACAGAAGGGGAACACAAGCTATGGAAGTTTCTGATCTCTGTTTGCCTGGAGAAGTGAGAGTCATCTGTCCTGATTTGCATATATCAGTATCTCTAAAGATCTGAAAAAGTAAAATAAAAATCAAGTCCCTATATTTTCCTTGACTAAAAACTGGCTGCTGTTTCTTTGTTCTTCTGTACATACTGTATTTTGACTGCTAACTACAATCACAGAAACAGGAATGCTTCTGTGTACAATCTAGTATGTGTTGTGTAAACAACATAATTCCATATGCACTTGCAACCCAATAGAAGAATATATGGTGGGAATGAGGAAGTATTAGATGTAGTCAAGACAAAAGCTTTTCTCTCCTTTGCTCCTCCAAACCATGAAGGGTCTAAAGTCAACCCTCCCAAGCACCCCACAGGATGGGTGCAGTCATTCACATGCTTGTCAGCAGAAACATCCACTGACCAGGAAGCACATTTAGATGAAGTGTATCTCCTGCTCTGGTAATAAGGCTTTATGATCACATTATATACCTTTAATTAAGGTATTATTACATGGACTGAAAAACTCTCAAGAGGAAAACATAACAGCTTTTTACTAAGCAACTCAACAGACAGGGAAATTTCATGGCAGAAAATCTGAAGAATCCTTGGGCAGTGCATAGTCCAAGAATGAAAGTGCAGTGCCCGAATGTCTGTCAGGTTCTGACAAACCCATGTTGTTTCTTCAACTGGTATTTATACCAGGTAGCTCTGTAACTTCTGTAAACCTTGGAGTCAAGGGGAAATTTGCCACTTGTTACAGTGGTGCAATGGGAGGCAGAACATTTAATTGCCACGTGATGGAATAGCTGGTTCCACACAAGACAAACATCAGACATCTCATGAATATCTATCTACCTGTTTGCCTAGAATGAGGTCTACAGACAAGGAATTTTTCCAAGACTGAAAATAAATACAGTCCAGCTGCCACACAAAAGGCATACTCCACCACTACTTACAGAGTCCTTCATTCTCAAATTATTACCTTATGAAGTGTTGGAGAACCCTCCTCTGCTTCTTTTGGTCCTTCCGGCAGGAGAGGAGCAGAATCTGGCACTGATCCTGAAGATTGTTCTCCATATTCTTCTGCAAACAGCATCCACAATTCACCATTATGAGGACCACAAAATAATTATGAATGTGTCCATTTTATGTGAGCAACCATGAAATTACAATCTAGCCAAGTAACAGGATGTGAACTGATACAGGTGAAAAATGTTTGAAGCCAAACTTTGTATAAGAATTTATCAAAATTTGCCGATTAACTTTCATTTACATTACTAAGCTTAGACTTAAATGTCATTTATTTATTGCTTATTTATATAGGTAATTATATAAAATAAAAACAATCAAACATTTACACGACTTAAGAACCAAGTCCCTACTGACAGCAATGCAGCTGGTACTTAACAAACATACCATATGCATTTCTCTTAATTAACTAATAAGATTGCCACCAACTGTAATAACAAGTTATATATGAGGGTGGGTTTTTTTGCACAATTGAACAACTGCCTCAAAACTTTTGTTCCATTTTTTTTAAAGAACAACAGGTCATCAGTGAAATCTCTTCCTACAGACTGCTCTCTGGCTTATTTTGCAAGGAAGAAAGGAAGGAGAAAATGCACAGGATGTGCAAGGGGAGAACAAAGAGGAAGGAGAGTAGTTAAGTTGACTTTAACTATGATCATCAAGTTAGCACAGTGTTATGTCCAAGGCTGGCGTTTTTTCTTTTTTTGGAAAAAGGCATAAAGACTAGACTTCACTTGAAAGACAGAGGGAGTAACTAGAAAAAGGGGGGAAACTTACGAAAACTTGGGTTAAAAGATTTCTAAACACCAACATAATTGAAGTTTTGATAGTTTAGGAGGGCAACTAAACACTATGTCCATAAACTGAATAATAAGAAGTGTCAGGACCCTGAGCATTTTCCTATCAGTTGACTCAGTAGGATGCTTCCTATATTATTTGTTCAGATTCATTTAGGTTTTTCTGCATTAGTTTATTCAAAACTGTTTTAATGACAAAGACCTGGTAGCAAGTTCAATATTCAGAGTTGAGATTTAACCGCTACTGTTCCTTTAGAACTTCATACTGAAATCCACTTATTTGGGAACTAAGCATTCTGCATTAGAGCAGAGGGAAAATCAACAGTTTTTACAAAAGTACTGGTTAGATCTAACACAGAATACCTAAGAAAAAACAAAGATGTCTGTGAAATGCTTTGATGTGTCCTAAAATGTTGCCAAGGTAGGGCATGAACCAGCAGTCTATATGTAAGAGGAAATGAGAAACTGATCCAGTTGACTGACAATTAAGACAGTACCATATAAACTGGAATATTTAAGTTCCAATACCTTCCTAAGTCAGATGTGTCAACTTGCTCAGTGGCTAGCTAACTATACACAATTTCTGCATCACCCTAAATAATCATTATGCCATCTACGTGCTACATAAATTCCTATCTTCAGAACAATAAGCAGTACAACATGGTAAAATCTTGGACCATCAGTTAAACCCACACCGGTATACCAGGAAGACAGAAGTAAACTTACTTTCACCAGCCACATAATTAGCTGGAAAATAGCCTTGCTGTCCATTTGCTAGGCTGCCAAACCACCAGTTATCATTATCTTTGTACAACACTTGGATAATGTCACTGCGATGGATGGTTAGCTCATCTGATCGATGCGCTGTGTAGTCATAAAGAGCCACTACCTAAAAGAGAGATAAGAGCACCACAGCTTTATCACAACCCTGCCACAGAGAAAAAAGCGCAACATTCACTTCCTCTTGCAGAAAAGAAGCTGAAACCAAAGCTGCACTTTGGTAAAAGCTGAGGCTGTCTCAAGTTTTGCTAATGGGATCAGGGGTGGTGGGAAAGCAGCAGGAGAGGCAAGATAAAGGACTGTGGGATTGTAGAAATGGTTAAGAACATTCAATTCACTAAGATTAGCTTCAAAACAGCAGCTGGTAGTTTTATAAGCAATTTACTTGTGAAGCAAAAGGGAAAAAAATACACTTCATACATTCATTTTCTCAGAATTGTTACACCACCTTCAGATCCCATTCTGTGTGTGCTCATGAAGCATGTGTTCAAATAAATACTTCAACACTACGACAGATTCACCGAAGGAAAAATTTAGTTCACAATATTATTGCAAAGTTTTGCTTCGATCCCTTAATTTTTTGTGTGTGTGTGTTTAGAAAGAAGGATTAGTATATACAGTTTTATAAATATCTACCCAAAATATTTATATTCCATTTCACATAATAAATTATTTGCCAGTGATATACTACACTTAGTATTTTCTGAAAAAAGTATACTAATAGTGGTCAGCACCATGCATGCTACCTGGAACACATCACTAGAAGCCTGCTTTCTACCATGAACCTGAAAACACCAAGTATAGTTTCCTCATTATTTCCTATGTCCTATGAACAAAAATTTGTCCTGATGAATTCAGAGCAAAAAAAGACTGAAAAGAAAACAAGTGAACTGAAAGAATAAGAGAATTGCTCACTTCCCTCATCATAAGTGAAGAGCAAAATTATGACCTATTTTACACAAAGAACAGTTTACCTAC